AGAAAATGAAAACATGTCTACGAGAGCCAAAATATGTCCTTGAATTTATCCCACCTGAATTTAGAGATCATCTGAAGAACAGATTTTATGCATTGGACACTAAAGACCGAAGACCAGAAGAGTTGTGGGATGACATCAAGAACATCATACATGAAGAGAGTGAAAAGTCATTAAGAAGACAAGAAAGGCGGAAAAGGTCAAAATGGATGTCAGAGGAGACTAATGTTTAGCAAAGAGTAAAAGAATACAGCAGTGAGCAGAGTAAGGGTCCTGGTGTGGTCAGAGGGAGCAGCTGGAGAGAGACTGGTGATTTCTCTGCACTCTTTGTTCCTCCTGTGGGAGATCAGATAAGGGTAGCCCCCAGATTTTAGTTTTTGCTTCAAATAGCTATAAGCACAGTTCTAGCTTATCAACATTTCCTAGTGTTTAAAAGATAGGAACAAGGGAAGATAGAGGATAATGAGGGTGTGTTGTTGTTGTCAAGTGCCACCAAGTCGGTACCGACCCATAGCGACCCATATGCACAGCAGAACAAAACACTGCCAGATCCTGGGCCAACCTCACTACTGTTGCCATGTTTGAGTCTATCAATGCTGCCACTTAGCCAATCCATCTCGTTGGGGGTCTTCCTCTTTTTCTCTGACTCTCCACCTTACCAAACATGATATCCTTCTCCAGCGACAGCTCCCTCCTGACAATATGTCCAAAGTATGAGACATGAAGTTTGGCCATCCTGGCCTCCAAGGAGCACTCAGGCATTTTCAATATTCTTCTCCAACACCATAACTCAAAAGCATCAATTCTTCTATGGTCTGTCTTATTCACTGTCCAGCTTTCGCATACATATGAGGTTATTGAAAATACCATGGCTTGGATCAGGCACACCTTAGTCTTCAAGCTGACATCTTTGTTCTTCAACACTTTTAAAAAGAGGGTGTAGTTAATGTTTACTGATCACTTTGTGCCCAGGCACTGTACTAAACACTTTATATGCATATATTGTCATAGAATCCTACAGCAAAATTTCAAGCTAGACAGAGGCTGCAATCTATAGATATAATGCAATTCCAATTTGTATTTCATCACTGTTCTTTAATAAGATGGAAAAGTGAGTCATGAACTTTATATGGAAGGGAAAGAGACCCTGGATAAGTGAAGTCCAACTAAAGAAGAACAAAGTAGGAGGCCTCTCACTTCCCAATTTGAAAACCTACTACACAACCACAGTAGTCAAAACAGCCTGGCACTGATATGACGACAGACTCATAGACCAGTCGAACAGAATTGAGAACCAAGAAGTAAATCCATCCACCTGGGGATAGCTGATCTTTGAGAGAAGGCTAAAGATGGCAAAATCCATTTGCAGAAAAATGAAACAAGACCCCTATCTCACACCATATACAAAAATGAACGTAAGATGGATCAAAGACCTAAATGTAAAACCTAAAACTGTAAGACCATCAAAGAAAAAATAGGGATAAACTTAGGGGGCCTAATACATGGCATAAGTACACTATAGAACATAACTGAAAACACACATATAGCAGAAGACAAACTAGATCACAGGGACCTCCTAAAGCATTAGACACTTATGCACATCAAAAGATTTTACCAAAAGAGTACAAAGAGAACCCAGAGACTGGGGAGAAAATTTGGAAAATGATGTATCTGACAAGAAACTAATTTCTAAAATGTATAGAAAACTTCAGCACCTCAGTAAGGAAAGACGGCTACAATTACAAAATGGGCAGAGGACATGAACAGACTCTTCACCACAGAAAACAATCAGATGGCCAACAAACATATGAAGAAGTGCTCCTGGTCATTAGCCGTTACCCACTGCCAGTGAGTCAATTCTGACTCATAGCGACCATGTACAGGGTTTCCGAGGCTGTAGATCTTTATGGGAGCAGAAAGTCTCACCTTTTTCCTTTATAGCGGCTGGTGAGCTTTAACGGCCAACCTTGAAATTAGCAGTTAGTGCTTATCCTACAGGGTCACCAGAGCTCCATTATTAGCCATTGTTGTTGGTAAGTGCCATCAAGTCGGTTCCAACTCATAGAGACCCTGTATAGCGTTTCCAAGGAGCAACTGGTGGCTTTGAACCACTGACTATGTGGTTAGCAGTCCAGTGCTTATCCTACAGTACACACCAGGATTCCATTAGCCGTTTGGTGGTAGTGGTTGCAGTAAGTGCCATCAAGTAGATTCCAACTCATAGTAACCCTGTATAGTATTTCCAAAGAGGGACTGGTGAGTTTGAACTGCCTACCTTGTGGTTCAAACCGACCTGGAGGTCAAGTGCTTATTCTGCAGCTCCACACCAGGGCTCCCCATTAGCCATTGTTGTTGTTGAGTGCCTTTGAGTCAGTTCCAACCCATAGAGACCCCGTATAGGATTTCCGAGGAGCACCTGGTGAGCTTGAGCCACTGACCTTGCAGTTCAAACGGCTTTGCAGTCTGGCACATTAACCCACAGTGCCACACATTAGCCATTAGAGAGCTGCAAATCAAAATGACAAATAGATATCTCACCTCAGCATTTATAGCAAAGTTTGAAAAAGAAAAACTGTGGAGAGACTGGGACTCCCATACATTGCTGGTGGGACTGTAAAATGGTGCAAATACCATAGAAAATGATAAAGTGCTTCCTTAAAAAGTTGGAAATAGAAATACCACATGATCCAGCAACCCCAATACTTGGTCTATATCCTAGAGAAATAAGGGCTGTGGCATGTATAGATTTATGAACACTCACGCTCATCACAGCACTAATCACAGTGGCAAAATGATGGAGACAGCCTAAATGCCCATCAATGAAAAAATGGTTAAACCAACCGGTTATACAATTGAATTCTACAATAATACAACGTTGAAGAATAATGATGAATCTGCATAACACCTTGTAACATGGATGAACCTAGAGGACATTATGCTGAGCAAAATAAGTCAGTCGCAAAAGGACAAATCTGTATGAGACCACTATTGTAGAAAGTCAAGGAAATGTTTTCATATTAAAAGAAACATTTTTTTAAGGTTACCAGAGGTGAGAGGGGAAGGGAGGATAAATCACTAGAGGGTAGATAAATATTAACTTGGGTAAAGTGGAAGGCAAAAAATAAGATTAAAATATAGATGAGATCATCCTCATTTTAAAGATGAAGGTTCAGAGAGATTTATGGATTACCCAAGGTCACACAGCAGGAGGATAACAGAACCAGGCTTTGAACCCAGATCTGCCAGACTCCATGATTCTGACCCCTGCACTCATAACCATCAGGTTGCAATAAAGCCAAATGGCCATGTTATTAGAGTTGGAGGCTCAGTGGAGCTAAAAATGGCCCCAGGATTGGGGACCCTCAGGAAAAGGTTTCCCCAGCCTAGAAGCTCTTTCCTAGGTAGTTAGTCTTATGTCAGGACAGCTCAGCTCTGCTCCTTCAAGTCCAGCAGAGTGCAGGCAGGAGCTCAGCACTACTGCCATTTGGGCAGGGGCCTGGATCCTAAGGGGCTGTCCTCTGTTCTGTGACCTCCTAACCCATGACAATGGGGGATTAGTCCAAGGGTCCTGTAAGTGAGCAAAAAGGACAGAGTGATGAGTTAAATTGCTAAATTGAAATTGAGTTAAAAGTTAAATTGAAACATGAGTTAAATTGTTAAATGGAAATTGAGTTAAAAGTTAAATTGAAACATGACTTCTTCAAGGGCTCAGGCCCATCCTTCCTTTGGTGAGCATGCTGTGCCAGGCCTCTGTCTGGGAGATCTCAGTGGGTGGATAAATTAGTGTCAAAGCCCTTTTGTTTTTTCAAGATAAGGAGCAAGAACAGATTTCCACAAAGGGCATCTGACATTTTCCTAGAAATGAATGATGTGACTTCACTTTATTTTTTCTGTTGGGTTTACAAGGAAAAATAGCAGTGGTCTCTCATTATTCATTTACACAATAAATCTTTTCCGTAATTATGTAATAGGTACTAGTATTTTAAGGAGCCCTGGTGGTGTAGTTGTTAAAGGACTTCCTGATTAACCAAAAGTTTGTGGTTTGAAGCCATAGCTACTCCACGGGAGAAAGATGAGGCAGTCTGCTTCCGTAAAGTGTACAGTCTTGGAACAGTTGTGGTACTTTATAGAAAAAGGCCCCGTTTGGTGAAGTGTATGAGCTACTGCCTACAGCTTCCCTCAGTTGCGTCAGAGATTTGGGATAGGGATTGATTGGGAGGAATAGCAAAGGGGGTCAGTGTCCTGCTGGAAGAGCCAGCGTGTCCCTGCTCTTCATGTTACAGATAAAAAACTCAGGCTCAAAAACCTAAGTAATTTGTCCAGGATCTCCCACCTTAGTAAGTAACTGGGTCTTAACCCCAGAGCTATCTGACAACAGTGCTGTGTTGTTAACTGCCATGCGATACTGACTGTCTCTTGTGTGTTTGCTTCTAGTTCTTTAAGGCCTTTTCCAAGAATGGCTCAGGAACACCACTGTCAGGTGGGTGTCCTGGCTCTAGTTGTCCTGTTGGCTTTGTCAACTCTCCTGCCTCCCCTCTTCCTGGAGTTTCTGTCAGGGTGGACAGGCCTGCCAAACATCAAGGTCCACAAGCATTGGGAGTTGCCCAAATGAAAACCTTATTTGGGTTTTCCTAAAAGAAATGTGCTCCTTCCAGTTAGCCTAGAAGATTCCTTGGGGAAAGGTAGGCTGAAAAAACTCCTCAGTTTAGCCCTCTCAGGGTCCTGGGATGAGGGTGAGGTGCCATGTTTTCACAAGAGCCTTTGATGTCAAAATGGGGTTGATTTACCGAAGGGCACCAGATAGCTCCTGCAGGAAGCTCTCCTGGGTCCTAGTTCTGAGGTGCTCTTTCCTGCCCTCTCAGGGACAGGGGTCCTTGTATTTTTAGGACCTCATTTCTCTAATGCAGAGGACACCATATCCTTCTCTGTCAGAACTAGCTCAGGCCCTAGGCCCTTAGTTTCTGTGAATGAGGCTAACAAGGGCACTGGAAGGCGTTCTGTTCTCCCAATCCCCGTCCCCATGTCTGTTTTCATTGACAGTGGCTGGAGCTGATGTGCAGGCTCTGCGAGAGAGGCTCATTGATGCACTGGAGACCCATCATGACACGTGGCCCCCAGCCTGCCCTCCACTGGAGCCTGTCAGGTATTTTGGAGTGTGGCAGACTTTGTTCAGTGTGCAGTGTGGGCTAGGATCACAGGCCCGGGAATGAGGAGGTAGTTGGAATGGCAGGGAAGGGAACCTTGTTGATTTCTTTCTGTTGCCTTTGCCATTGGGGCAGATACCCTAGTCTACCACAGTACAGAGCCACTTCTGAGCAGCTGGTAGAAGGCCTCCTATTTCTTGAGGTCCTAACTGAGGGGCCCTGCCTTCCTGGAGCTTCCTGACAGATGCAAGGGGCCCACCTCATTGGGAGGGAAATTGGGATGGGCTTCTCCAGATAGTGCTTGCTGTCCTTTCTCATCATAAATTGGACACTTTGGAGATGCAGCAGGATTATGCAAGATCTAACTCAGGGAGGGCCACTGAGAGAGTGGGCATGGGAAATAAAACTGTTGAGAGAATAAGGAGGGAATGCTAGATGAAGGGAGGAGAAACTCAGAAAAGCCAAGTCTTGTCTCTTAAGTGAAGGTGGTCATCTGTCTGAGCAGGTGCTGTGACTAAAAGGGGCTAGGGGTGGGGTCTCTGCTGCCTATGCTGTAGACTATCAGCACAATGGCTGGTGCGCTCTAACTGCCTGCCAGAAAGGCTTCCAGAATTGCCTCTTTTCAAGGAAAATAAGGACAGTGAGGTTGATGGATGTCTTGTCATGACTCTGCCAAGAAGATGGAGACAGCTACATTGAGAATACTACATCCTTCACTTATGAAAGAGAACTCAAGATAAGATAATGCCCACCTAAGGGACAAAGAAGGACCAAATCAAGTAGTAGCAGGGACTGTTTGAGGGAGCTCAGCCTTAGAACATGATGGAGGTCCCAGGTACTAAGATAGCATCATGCAGTGGATGCTTGAAAGCTCAAGCCTGTGTCCTGGGGACTCTTCAAAGCCGTAGCCCTGCTGAGAGATTATGTTTCTAAGTACAAGTTGGGAATGAATCCAACTTAGAAGGCTCTTTGTTATCTTTTCCAATTCTCCATCCTCCCAAGAGGACCTGACAGAGACCCTGGACCACCCAGTACATGGTGTTATGTGGTTTGGGTTCCACCTCTCCAAAACACCCATGTCAGCCTATAGTCTGGTCCTTACTTCTTCCTTTTCTTTCTGTCTTTGTCACTCTCCTTTTTACACACATATATGAGGGGACTTCAAAAACTTCATGGAAAAATGGAATAAGAAGATAATGGAATTTCTCCACAGACTTTTTGAAACCCCCTCCTACATCCCTTATGGCACATTTTTATCCTTAAGAGATCTCAAAATCAGGCAGACATGCCAAACTCACTCAGAGTGACCTCCCTAAAGAGTTCTAAGAAGGAGGTGGAGATGCATGAAGAAAGGTAAGCTGCCTTTTCCTGAAATCAGAGGGTGTGATGGACAGGGGTGGGGATGGCCTACCCTATGGGATTTACTTTTCTGCCAGGCGAGGGAAGGCCTGGCAGAGGGGTCTGAGAGGCCATGAGACTGTTGGTGGCCATGACACCTCTTCTCATCCACCCATGGTGTATGTCGCCCCTGACCCCCACTTCTCTAGCAGATCCATGTTACCATCACTGGGCTGGGCTGAGCTCCAACATTGCCCCAGGTAGCACCTTTTGTATACAGGAAGTCACTGCCTCAACAGTGAGTCAGTAGAGGAAAAATCGATCTCCTGATTGAGTAGTCTACCTTTAGGGATAAAAGGAAGGTGCATCCTCCCATTTGCCATCTGACTTTTTGTCTTAAAAAAAATCCAGCAATATCTTGTGTATTTGTTGGGGATAATCAAATTTGTCTTTGTATTCTACATCTCCACCTTCAGTTTCCTCATCTTAGAATGAGGAAGTTGGATTAGGTTGCTTCTGAGCTCTTCTGCATCCAGGATTTATGATGCTTTCATTTCTTTTGTATGTCTACCCCAAGGGAGGAGAATGCAAGTCTCCCAGTTGGTGTTTACTTACCACAGAGCAAACTGTGTATCTAATGATTCTAATCTCCAGTCTCAGGGGATCAGTCACAGCCGTATTCAATAAGCCTGAGCCATACTCAGAACGTAGAGACAACTGGCCTCAAAGTGTCCCTTCCCAACCCTTCTCCCCGAGACTGACTCAGGCTCACTCTTGACTCCTAAGAGAGACAGAGTGAGAAAGGAAAAAACAGCAACAGGGTGGATGAAGAACCAGGGCTAGGAAACAAAAACATCCTGTGAGACTGTGGGTTTGGTTTATTCCCCCCTGAAGGGCTGGCAGTAGGAGACTTCCACAAGGGCTTGTGTGGAAACACAGGAGGTTTGTATGGCTGTCTGTGCAGTAGCATGTCTGTCACTCACATCTGGTGTGATTAGCAGTTATGCCTGTTCCCACTGGCTGTGGACAGTGAGCACCAGAGTTGTCTCTTGCAGGCTGGAGGAGATTAATGGATTCTTTGCAAGAAACAATGAAGAGTACCTGGCCTTGATCTTTGAAAAGGAAGGCTCCTATCTGGGTAGAGAGGTGAGCCACCCTCAGGTTCCCTGCCACTCTGGAGCACCTTTGGGAAAGAGCCCTAGCTCAGGAGCAGGACTTGTCCTGAAAATTCTAGGGGCCTGGCAATGTGCCTTTCTTAGCCCTCTGTCGTCCTGACCCCAGCTGAGAGAAGCAGGAAGTTTGGGAGCTGAATGGTGCATTTTGTCTTAAAACTTTTGTGTCTGCTTTTTTTCCTCTCATCACAACCGAATGTGCTCACACTCGGTGTTTACTGAGCGTTGAACTAGATTGCTGATATATATAGTTGCTAATCCTCACAATTAACAGGGATGATGAACACATCTAAGATCACACAGCTCGTAAATTGGTGAAGCAGAGCTTTGAACCAGGACTGTCTGCCTCCAAAGATGATGTTGTTTCCACATGGCTCCTGTGCCCCTCAGGCCCCCCCACTGCCATCAAACTGGAGTTAAAAAAAATAAATAAATGGAGGAGGAGACATTAGAGACCATTTAGTTTTTTATATGAGGAAATGGGGTCCTTTATAGGTGGCAGGTAACAAGACCAGACAAGCTTGAATTTCTACTCCATCATATACTTAATATGTCCTTGGGCAAGTTACTCAACTATTTCCTGAGCTTCATTTCCCTGTTTATAGACTGGTGGTGGTGGTGGACTCTCAAGTTGGTCCCACTCACACAGACCCTGTATAGGATTTCTGAGGCTGTAAATCTTATATAGGGACAGAAAGCCTCATCTTTCTCCCAAAAAGCGGCCAGTCGATTCAAACTGCTAACATTGCAGTTAGCAGCCCAACTCATTACCCACCACGCTACCAGGGTTCTTTGTCTATAGACTAGTGATATTTACATTTTTTGGTAATATTTTATGGGAAGTCAAATGAGGAAATTTAGCTAAAGGACCTAGAATAGAATTAGACACGTAGCAAGCCCATTGTCACTGAGTCAATTCCAACTCATAATGACTCCGTAGGACAGAGTAGAATTGCCCCAAAGGAGTTCCAAGACAACAGTCGTTACAGAAGCAGATTGCCACATCTTTCTCTTGCAGAACAGCTTATGGGTTCTAACCTTTCAGTTATTGACCTTTTGGGTTCCTTACCTGACACATCCTAGGTGCTTGATAAGGATCCCCACCCTCTTGCCTGCTGCAGAAGCTCTCCATTACACCACTGGCTCGTGGGCTTCTAGAACCGCAGGCCACTTAATGGACTTTTGCCAAATGCAGAGAGATGGGCCAGTGCCTGGGAGATGATCCAGGACGGTGCAGGGAAAGGACAACACATGAGGGTGGGGATGAACTTAAACACCACTGTTGCCTCTGAATGGTTTTCCTGCTGAAACTCATCGAGCACAGTTGAGAAGTCTGAGCTGAAACCAGAAACTTGGCAAGTGACTCCAGGGCTTTCAACAAGAGTAGAAGGACAGGGAGGCAGGGACAAGGGAGAAAGTTTTACCTAACCCTCTGGGAGTCCAGTTCATGCCTGGGGCCATAAGAAGTGACTGATAGGCTTTGTTTGGAATCAACTCTCCTTTTTCTCCTCTCCCATCCTGTCCCCTGTATAACCAGGATGCTCTGGGACAGTTAGTACGAGGCAAGAGAGAACAGTGGCCAAGAATGCAGACTTCAGAGCCACACTAAAGTGGGATTTGTAGCCCAGTCAGTCCACATACTTGCTAGCTGTGTGGCATGGATACAGTATTTCTCATCTAGCTTCAGTTTCTTCATCAATAAAATGGGAATTTTTCAAATAAATACTTGTTTAGCACTGTTGTTAGTGCCGTCGAGTCGGTTCCGACCCATAGCGACCCTGTACAGGGTTTCCGAGGGTGTAAATCTTTACGGGAGTAGAAAGCCTGATCTTTCTCCCGCGGAGCAGCTGGTAGTTTCGAACCGCTGACCTTAAGGTTCGCAGCCCGATTCGTAACCACTACGCTACCAGAGCTCCTTTAGGTGCTACTTATTTTTATAAGGAACTTTATCAAATTAAGCCATTTGATCCTCTTAACAGTCTTATGAGGTTTGTCCTATTACTATTATTATTATTTTGTAAGGAAATATTGAGTCAGGGAGACGTTTAGTCCAAGATTCAACCTCAGGCAGCCTGGCTCCAGAGCATAAAGTACTGTGTTCCCTCTTCTGTCTCCTAAGATATTCCTGTTTCATAGTGTCTTTTCAAAGATTAAATGAGAGAATCTATAAAGAACACATGATACACATTCAACAAGTGTTAGTCTGACCCCTTCTTATTTCTTTTAAAAAATGAAATCATCATGTTTAACTAAGGTTATTTCCCTCATTTTGAATATAGCTAGAGAGTATCTTATAAATAAAACTGAAACCACACTTTTTTATGCCCTTCACAAATTACTTTTTAGTGGATAGAGTGAAATTAATACTAAATGGTGGTGCCTTAGAGAATGAGGTCTCCACAGTTCACATGCCCTTCCGTTTGGGTGGCGCTTGGCAGTTGTTACTGTAGCATGAGAATCCCTTATTCCTCCCATTATCCACTCAGAAAGGTTTCGATTGAACACAGCTGACTGTCAAACCCCTCCCCCCAGATGACCTACTGTCTCCGCAGGTGACTCTGGACTTGTCCCAGCACCAGGGCGTGGCGGTACGTAGGGTCCTGAACACCGAGGAGGACGTGGTGAGGAAGTTTGGCGTCACTGACTTCCCATCTTGCTACCTGCTGTTTCGGAATGGCTCTGCCTCCCGGGTACCTGTGTGAGTATGATGTCCCCAACTCCCATCTCTGCTCCTTCCTTGTGCTCATTTTTACTTCCTGTCACAGGGGCAGTCAAGTGGGCAACTGGGTTTAGTACTTTCTCCAGCAGTGAGTCTTCTGAGGAGCTCATAGGTGGGTGAGGAGCGCCCTCTGTGGGGGAAGCGGCACAGGTTGGCCTGTCTGGTGGGGACAATGTCACTGCAACCCAGGAGTCCTGCCACACCCAGGGTTGGTGTCCACCCTCACTGCTACTGCACCATCCCAACCACGGCCTCCTCTGTTCACAGACAAGCTCATTGGCAGGCTGCAGGCCTGGCACAGACTCAAATATGCCTGACCTTCCCTCCCTTTGGTTTTCTAATTGCAGAAAAGTTCATTAGGAGCCAGACAATAGCCAGTTCCAAAATGCCAAGAGAAAACAATCAGGCCAGCCTCAGCCCCTCTGTCAGGCTCCCGCTGCTGCTGAATGGCCTGCTAAATGGCGCCAGATGGTGCCTTGGTGCCCTCCCTGGGCAGATGATTGATGTCAGCCTGGCCCTCTAGGCAGGAGCTTGAGGGCCAGGGAGATAAAGGCTTGCATGAGTTGCCCAATGAGCTGCCCTTCAAGGCCATTAGTGGCATCCTGCGCTGAGGCTAGGCAGGGTGGCCACTTGCCCTCAACCTGCCTTGGCCTCAATCAAGCAGCACTGGGGCCAGCCCTGTCAGCATTCTGCTGGGACAAGGAAGCGTGTGGCCACAGAGGGACTGAGGGACAGTGGTGCTGAGGAGAGGAGGCATTATTTCCTCACTTGGAGTTGGTGGAGGGGAAAATTGTTTGTGACGATGCCACTTCTGAGCCATCTGCTCATCTATAAACATCAGGCCAGGACAGCGGAGCGGAAAGCAGTGATTCCTGATGCAGGCTCCCCTGGGCTGTCCCATCACACCACTGCTGATTTCTGTGTCTCTCCCTCCAGGTGGCCCTGGCCTTAGTGGGTCTGACAGAGCATTTGTGCTCAGGAGATGTTTCCAGGACTCTTCTCTCTCAGAAGAGAAAAAGACGCTGAAAGGCTTATGAAAGACTGTAGAAAATGTTGGTGATGTTACTGTTGTTGCTACATTGTAATTTTTAAATCAATTACCAAACTCCCTTGACTTCCTTGAACAAGCTTGTTGAGTAGGCAGATTCCTTGAGATCAGCCACCAATTGGAAACTTCTGTCTATGGCAAGGTGGTCAAACTCGACATCCTCAGTTCAGGGTTCTAGAGATTGGCTCCTGGTAGCTGAGGGCAGAGACCTTACCTTTGTGGTAATGTTGAGTCACCACACAGCTTTCGACATCAGCTGCTATCAGAGAGGCTTTCTACAGCATCTGCAGTTGATAGAAAGGTTGACATGAGGCATAGTTTCCTATGTTGGGTCTCATTGAGGAAAGACAACCCAAGTTCACGTTTCTTCATAAACATCTTCATGCTTTGTCTTCTAGCATTAGTTAGCTCTGGGATTTTGTTTCCCTACACTCACTGGATCTCTTCCCTCACAGGCTTGTGGAATCCAGGTCCTTCTACACCGCGTACCTGCAGAGGCTCTCTGGGGTCACCAGGGAGGCTGTCCAGACCACAGTTGCACCAACCACAGCTAACAAGATTGCTCCCACTGTTTGGAAAGTTGCAGACCAGTAAGGCCATGACTCCCTCTCTTTCCTGTCCGCTACCCCAGCATTTCTTCTGATTATAGACCACCCTCCACACATACACATGCACATACTCTCTCCTACTCATTCCTGTACCTTGTCATGAGTTCAGGACATCCTGGGCCCAGATCTTCTCCCATCCCCACTAAGGATTGGGGAGGAGGAGCAGTTGGCGGGCTGGCCTCTCCAGTGTCTGCCAGTAGGATCCCAGTGCTGACTGCAGGAAGTGATCATGCATTTGATTTTATCTTTCATGGTGAAATGAATACTTTTTGATGCTCACATCGCTTAAGAACAAGTCAAATCCATTTGGAAGAATATTCTGAGGCCTCCAAGCCAACTTCCCACTCAGGCATTTATTCTTCATCAAATACTTTTGAGTTCTGGTAGTGTGCTCGATATTATGCATACAGACACAGACAGGGCTGCTGCAGTTCCTACAGACAGCAAGCTTTCAGTCCCCTTCACAACATCCCTTCTAGAAAGATACCCAATCTTACTTGAATTCCACTTGTGTAAGGGAGCTCACTGCTTTTTGAGGTAGCTTGTATCTTTGTGCCCAGCTGTAAGCATGAGAAAGTTGCTCTTCTGTGAGGCTCTCTGGCTTTTGCTCTTGTGATAGTCTTTCTATCTGGACCTCTTGGTGTGGCTCCTGACAGCATACCAAATGGAAATGACTGGTCAAGGCGCCTCTGAAGGAGATACACAAGAGACTTGGTGAAAGGTCTTCTGATTTCAAGAAGGATTTGCATCCTCTCATGAGGGACTTTAAGGGTGAAAAGTGCTAACAGAGCTATTTTTAGTAAACCAGGGAGGAAAGAGTGAGAGCTGGGAATGATCATAAAGGCTGCCCTGACCCTTACAGACTTCATATGCTGAGCTCTGTGCAGTGTCTCCTTCAGTCATGGAGCCATTTTTTGAGGTAAAGTACAAGACTGGTGAGAAAATAGAAGCCCAAGGACACCAAGTGAATCACAGAGAAGGGACTTTGCCACAGGATAAGACACAGTTAGTCACCATGTTCTCCTTGTTGGCTCTCATAATGCTAGGATGCAGGTGGGGCAGGAGTCATTTGTTTATCTTACAGGTAGGTAAGTGAGGCCCAAAGAGGTGAATTCAGTTGCCTAAGCTCACAGAGCTAGCTCACTGTGGATTGATGCCAGAACCTAGATCTCAGGAGACAGAGCTAGAGAGACAGCCAAAATTCCAGGAGCTCTTCCCATCAGAACTCTGGACCCAGACCTAAGGGAATGTCAAGGGCAGGGCTGGAGCAGCCAACCTGGAGCTGAGGTCGGCCCAGAAGGGGACCGGCCTGAGTTCCAGGGAATCTGTGAGCACATCAACCCTGAAATAAACAAACCCTCTACCTTCCACTAGTGACCTGATTAAAATACTTTGTGAATCATGGGAAAAGTTAGCCCTAGACCTTGGGAGGAGAACTGATTAAGGCCAGGAGCTACTGAGGGCTTTACGATTATGTTGTCACTTAATCCTCACAGCAGCCCTACTGTGAGGAGTTTTTTATTTCTCATCTTATAGGTGAGGAATTGAATCCTCCCAGAGAAGTTAGGAGTTCTGGTGTGGTCCTGTAGGATAAGCAGTGGACTGCTAACCACAAGGTCAGCAGTTTAAACCCACCAGCCGCTCCTTGGAAACCCCTATACAGGGTCGCTATGAGTTGGAGCTGACTCCAGGAGCACTTAACGACAGCAACAGAGAAGTAATTTACCCACGGTCACATGGCTAGCCACTGGCTGAGCCAAGTGCAGACTGTGGGACTCTGTGACTGTCAGCATCGCCCCTTCTCTCCTTCCCTCCCTTTACCCCTGGGTGCCCCTCCACCAGCCCCTGGCCTATGGCTAATGCCCCTTTCTCTCTCTCCCTCCACCCTGTCCTCCGGGTCTTCAGCTCCAAGATCTACATGGCTGACCTGGAATCTGCGCTTCACTACATCCTACGGATAGAAGTAGGCAAGTTCTCGGTCCTGGAGGGGCAGCGCCTGGCAGCCCTGAAAACATTTGTGGCCGTGCTGGCCAAGGTGAGAGGGCCTGTGGCCTCCCTTGTCTGTGCAATTCCACTTATGGTTAGTGTACATCCCCACAAACCAGGCACTAGGCTGACCTGGCTGGCCATCTGGACCCACAGCTCACCCAGTCCACTGTGGGCTGTGGTCATTGGGAAAGCAAAGTCCCTGAGAACCACAGTGGAGTTGAAGAGAGAGTCCCATGTGGCTCTCCTGAAACTCCTTTTTGGCCTTTTGCACACGGCCCGGTGTCTGACCCAGGTCCCTGCCCTATAGTCCTGCTTTCCTTACTCCTGAGCAGTTTTCTGGCAAGATGGCTGCCACATGATGTGTACCGACTGCCTACTGAGGACATATGTCGAGCATTTCATGAATCCTCTGAACTTCTCTGCAAGTATTCCTCCCTGACACTTTTAAGAGGCCCAAGGAGGGAGGTCAAGTGACTTGCCTTAGGCCTGAGTTCTGAGGTGATATGGTCAGAATTGGGGCTCCAGAGCCTGTGCTGCTTTTCTCCACCATTCTCTGAGGGTGAGATGAGGGCTCTCTCCTCCCTTCCCTGTGTCCTCCTCTCTGGCTACAGACCCACTGCCAATGCTGCTTTACTTAAAACCCGAGGAGCTGCTGCTGAGTACTGCTGAGTCAGATGCGGGCTCTGGTCCCCTCAGAGGCTGACTGCTGACTTGGCAGCTCTCAGCCTGGGGGCCAGATCGGAGCCCTCTTCTCTGCAGGTCTGCGGCAGCTGGGGCTACCTATGTGCTAATTTCGTGTCCTTCCCTCCATGGGACTTCCTGCTGCCCTGGTCCTTCTCCCCACCTGACCATTCCTGGCCTTCCCGGCCCACTTGGCTTGGTCATGTGCATGTCTGATTACACTAAGAAGACCCTGTGAGGTAGTGCATGCTCCTCACAGAGCACTGCTACATCTGAGGCAAGTGACCCCTGGTCTCCAGCCCACACTGCCACTAGAGACTTTTCCTCAGGTCCTGAGGGCTGCTTGGTCCCCAAGGCACTGAGACCTAGGGCTGTCTCCCAGAGAATCACAGGAAAAAAAAGGGCTAAAGGAAAAGCCCCAGGTGCTTTTTCAGGTACCCCTCAGGAGGTCATTGAGTGTGGAGGCATCATCTCAGGAAAGTTGTTTCCATGAGCCACCCACATCTCTCAGCTGTACTCAAAGCTGCTTTCTCTGCTTGGCTCTCAGTGGCACTATTTGGAGCCAGTTCGAGGGGAAAAAATGCAGGAAAGACCCCAATTGGGCAGAGACTTCAGCAGCAATTCTCAGTGGTGCCTCCAGAGCTCCCGCCTCAGTGAGAGCTGGTCCTGAGTCTGGGATGAAGGAAGGGCCCCTGCAGAGAATGGAGCAGAGGAGCCTGAGGGCACAGCACAGAGACCCTTGTTTGAACTCTGCCTATACATCCTCTTGGACAGTGCAGAGTATTCTGACCCGGCCCTTGCTTGGTGGCTTTGCCATAGATAGGAACAACAGCGGCACCTCTATTTCTTGAGCTCTGACAGGATGCTATTTCTCATAACAATTCCATGAAATGGGTACTGGTATACCTCTTTTTCTAATTGAAGAAACAAAGGCCCAGAGGAATAAAGCACCTTGTCCAAGGTTCTCCACATAAGCTAATCCATGCTCCTACTCATACATGCACTGTGCTCAAAGGGCATCGAAAGTCTAGAAGGGGATAGTGCTTCCACTGCTCTGCTCAGCCTCTGAGAAATATCAAGGTGGGTGTCCTCACATATCTGCCTGCCTGTACAGAGTATCTTCCACTCTCTTATCTGCTCCGTCAACTGAGTGGCTGGGCAGGAACTGACCACTGGGTGGCGTGCAGTCACCAGGATTTCCCTGTTCTGGATTGAGGGGAAGACTTGCTGTGCCACAGCCCCTTAATTCATCCTACCCCTGACACCCTGGCCCTAGAAAGCGGAAGGCTCCGAGTCAGGGTGGCGAGCAGAGGTCAATGAGAAATGCTGACTTTAAGCTGTAAATTTGTGTTGTGAGCCCCAGAGGGCTGTGTGAGCTAACCAGGAGGGAGTGTGTCAAAGCACGAGATTCTTTCCAGCCACTTCTCACTCTGGGGGAAGGTGTCCAGGCTCTGAGGTTTGATAAGGATATTTCATGGCTTCCTGAGAAGACTCTGGGAACAGATTGTTCCGTTTAGTTATACCTATCTCCTGTGTCTTTCTCTCAAATGTTTTCCTTTGCTCTTTTTCCTCCACAAATTTCTCAGTGTCATCGTCCTGTCGATCTCCCACTTGGGCTTTTCATGGGTTTATCTGAGCTGCTCTGTGCTCCATCTCTTCTGCAGCCAGCCACCCCCAGTGTGTGTGTGTGTGTGTGTGTGTGTGTGTGTGTGTGCATGCGCATGCGTGGACACATAAATACAACCTCCTCCCTGGAGTCCTTGTGGTTTTAAAGTGCTGATACTAATCAGATTTGAGTTGACTTATTGTCAGAGTAGCCTTTCATGCTCCTCAGAGACTATTGGGAGTTACCATCAAGATTTAGATCTTGGCTATAAGCCCCTGGACTGGCTTGTCCCCACTGACTGCCCATGGAATACAAATGCAAGGCCTTTGCCAGCCTGGTCCAGCCCGTCAGTTAGTCAGCAAGTCAGCTGCTCAATCCAGAGAGAGGACAAGTTCCCAGCAGCCCCTGGGAACTGCACAAGTGCACTGTTCTTCTTCAAGGTGGCATGGGTCAGGGGTCCTACATGACCAGCCCCAGTTAGAGCCTCTCTCCTTTCCCTACCCCCTGTACCCCAGCCTTACCAGATGCCCCAGAGAAAAGGTAGTAAGGAATCCACATTGGTACCTCAGGTAGAATGTTTTCCTGGTGATTTAGGAACACTCCACAAAATGGCTTTGTCCCAGTTCTATGTAACTCCCTTGTTTCTCCAGGGTTGTGGGGCGCTACAGAATTGTTTTTCATTTTCCATCTTCTGCTTGTTCCTCCCATAGTACTTTCCTGGCCAGCCCTTAGTCCAGAATTTTCTGCATTCCACCAGCGACTGGCTCCAGAAGCAGCAGAGAAGGAGAATTCCATACGGTTCTTTCAAAACTGCCCTGGACAGCAGACAGGAGGTGAGTGTGGCTCCTCTTCGCATTCTCAGTATTTATGAAAGGGGAAGGGTTAACGTTATATTCTCAGGCCTGATTTACCAATTTGCGTTCATGACGTTGGCTGGGCTCATCCATTAATAACTAATAAGCTGTACTATGTAATGTTCTCCCACTATGTGACAGGTGCTCTGCTGGACTCTATTTAGTCACTATCTCTTTCACTTCTTATAACTGTGCTGGCACAGAAAAAATAATATCTCCATTTAACAGATGGAGATACTGAAGTTAAGAGATTAAGAGAGGTAACTTTTCAGAAATCATGCAGCGATTGGGCTGGGTTTTAAAACTGGTTGTGGGACTTCAGAGGTGTTTATCCAGGGCAGGGGTTTGTTTTGTTTTTTCATCAGGGTGTGTGTGTGTGTGTGTGTGTGTGTGTGAATATATATCCCTGCTGGGTGCTGTTAAGTCGATTCTGTCTCGTAGTAACCCCATAGGACAGAGGAGAACCTCCCCATAGGGTTTCTTAGACTAAAACGTTTATAGGAACAGATTGCTAGATCCTTTCTTACGTGAAACTGCTATGGGTTCAAATAGCCAACCTTCCATTTAGCAGCCAAGCACTTAATCACTGTGCTACCAGGGAGGTAAATACAAATATGTATATCCTACATATTAAACCCACATCAGAGGTATGGGTCTCAGGTATTTTCTTCTCTTCTGAAGGCTATGTCTTCATTTGATGCACAAAAATTTATAATTTTGTTATTCGTGCAGCTGGGGTAGCTAGCTGCAGAAGAGATGGAGCACAGAGCCCCTCAGATAAACCCATGAAAAGCCCCAAAGTGAGAGTGACAGGACGATATATAAGAATGTCATATATAAGAATTTGCTGTCTAAAAGCAAGGTTTTAAAGTATTATTTTAATGTTTTTTCTTCTAAGAGTTTTAAGATTTTAATTAATATATGTAGGACATTGACCCATTTTGAGTTAATTTTCATATATGGTGTGAGGTATGGGCCCAACCTCATTCTTTGCATGCGGAGATCCAGTTAAGCTCCCAGAGTTGCTAACCTGAACTCCCTGTTTCCTCCAAGAAGCTCATGCTTCCTGTATCCTCCTGTTCATGCTGCTGTCTGCAGAGGTGGTCCCTGCAGCTGGGAAGGCACAAAATCTTACAGACTAGTAGGAGTCAAAGCTTGAAAGGACCTCAGGAATTAGTCCCCCTCGTTTTATAGATGAAGACATTTAGGATGGGTTATGGGCCTAATGTAAGGAGCTCTGGTAGTGTAGTGGTTATGAATTGGGCTGCTAACCTCAAGGTCAGCAGTTCGAAATTACCAGCTGTTCTGCGGGAGAAAGATGAGGCTTTCTGCTCCCGTAAAGATTTACAGCCTCGGAAACGCTATTCAGGGTCACTATGAGTCGGAACCGACTCCACGGCACATAACCGCCAACTATCATGGGTTAATCTGACCTGTTTCCCAGGTTTTCTTATCTCCTTCTCCCTTGATGGGTATAGCTGGTAAAAGGGAACTACCACCTTTAATGTGATAGACACAGAGAAAAAACTAACCTGTGTCTCTGGGCTGCATGCTGACCTTTGAGTCTCCAGGAAGCCTCTCTCTTCACCTCCCATCCCATTCATTTTCTTCTCACAGGCACACTCAAAACTCATGTTTGTTCCTTAGGGCGCTGTTATTACCAACAAGGTCAACTGGGTTGGCTGTCAGGGAAGCGAGCCTCATTTCAGGGGTTTTCCCTGCTCTCTGTGGGTCCTCTTCCACTTCCTGACTGTGCAGGCAGCTTGGAAAAATTCATACCACCCACAAGAACAAGGTAAGTCCAAGGCCTGCTCACTCCTGTGCCTCAGATCTTGCCCTGTTCTGCCCCTTCCCAGGAATGAGGAGCAGGGCAATGCCCTGGAATTCTCCCTCCCACTCCCTGCTGCAGTTTGGTAGTGGATGGGGCAGACAGTCTTGTGGGGCTCTCTGGGAATTCTGTACATGCAGTGGGCCATGCACTACCAACACACTACCATCCTCCTGGATGGGAAGGACCTTGAAAATTCACTGGGGTGGGAGGGTGGAGGCACTGAGACTCCTCTCTGGCTTTGTCAGAGTATACAGCTTGCTGTGGTTTCAGTCTTAATGAAAAATTTGAGATTCTCTTTTTTCTACTGTCATAAAGAGAACTCTCTTTCACAAATTACATAGTTGATACCATGTGCTTTTCCCTCTGCAAAAAATTTCTAGAGGACGTAAACGTATGCCCCCTCCTGCTCTGTTCCTGTCCCCAAATTGTGCTGCTGCTCTGTGGAACCCACACTGCCTCACACCTACTTTTAATGGTTGAAAGAATGGGCATTCAATTGATCACACATTTATTGAGGAACCAGGCCCTGGCTCAGCTTGGAGGAGAAAAAGGTGAAAAAGAGGCAGGCCATGCTCTGTGGAGTGTCCAGAGAGCCATCCTGCAGTGGGCCAAGGCCAAGTGCCAAGAACAAGAGCAGGGATGTGTGGGTAGAAGAAGAGGCATGCTTCATCTCTTTGGAGGGAGCAAGAAGCTTCGCAGAGGAGGCAGCTTGAGAGCTGGTGGATGAGTAGGAGTTTCACTAGGAAAGAAGAGGGGCCCACACAGAGTGAGCAGCCTGTGCAAAGGCAGACTGAAAGAAAGGACCTGCCGGGCGTGCAGAAAGTTGAGCCAGTCAGTCCAGCAGACATTTCATTGTCTCTGAAATGCCAGGCACCGCACAAGGTGCTGAAGATACAGCAGTATCTAAGACACAGAGTTTGTGTTCCCAAGGGGGCCAATATTTTAACGGCAGGAGACAGACATAAGCACATGAGTGCTTCTGGGATAATGATGAGTGTTGTGAAGACAAAGCAGAATGGTGTCCAAAACAGGGCTAAGGAGGAAGATGGGACTTTTTAGGAGGGTGGTTGAAAAACATTTCTCTGAGGAGGTCACCTTGTGCTAAGACCTGAATAAGAAGAAGGAAGAAGCTGTGAGTAAACCTAGGCAGAGAGCCTTCCAGGGTAAGGACTGGCAGGTACAGAGAACATTGGTGTATTTGCAGCACGAAAGGTGGCCAGCAAGGAAGCTAGGCTGTAGAGGGAAACAGAAAGAGGAAGTGAGCACATGCGGACAATGGTTTGAATTTCAGTATTTGCTGCTGGGTGGTGTGTGGGCTCCAGTGGAGCCAGGTGGAGGTAGCCAGACAGTTAGGAAACTGTAGACTAGGTTTGTCAGTGGTCAGATTGAGGAATATTGTGAAGGTAGAGCTAATAGGACTTAATAATGGCCTGAATGAAGAGTATGTGGGAACAAGGACTTGGGATTGGCCTCAGTGTTGTTTGGCCTGAGCGCCTGTTGTTTGGTCTGAGCACCTGGTGGTCCTATCTGCCAAGAAATGGGACAGTTCAAAGGTGAGAGGGTGGAGATAGGTTTTATTCCTATTCAATATCAGATATGGACAATGGAGTCAGGGTCTCTGGGGAGGTCCAGCATGAAGGTATGAATTTCCATTAGCATGCTGGTATGATTTAAAGCCACAGGCTGGATGAGCTCACTCATGGGTAGGTAGAGGAGGGACTGAGGACTGAGCTGTGGGCACTGCTGCTCCAGACCCCTGCCAGAGCAGGAGGCGCCAGAAGAGGAGGCTGAGAAGGAGCAGCTGCCAAGGTTGCAAGAGGGCCCCAGAGTCCAGTGTTTCAATGCTGCTGAGAGATGGCGCAAGATGAGGGTGCCTTTGAAAAGAGCTGTTGTAATAGAGTAGCGGCCTAAACTGAAAACACTGCCGATAATGGGGTGAGTATAGGACACCAAAGGAGCTCTGGTAGTGTAGTGGTACGAATCCGGCTGTTAACCTCAAGGTTGGCAATTCAAAACTACCAGCTGTTCCATAGGAGGAAGATGAGGCTTTCCACTCCCTTGGAAACCCTGTGCAAGGTCGCTATGAGTTGGAACCGACTCCACGGTACTGAACAACAGCAACAAATAGGGCATCATGTTCAATAAAGGGAGGGTCAGTGGAAGCCTTAATGAGAGGAGTTAACACAGTATCTGCAACAGTGGACTCAGACATACCAACCAGTCATAGAGATGGCGCGGGAGCAGGCTAGGGTTTGTTCTATTATACATAAGGCCTACGTGTAAGTCAGATCAGAGCCGTGACTCTGTGGGCTAAGGTGCTGGCCTGCAAAATCAGTTAGAACCTCAAGGACACCAGCCACTCTGAGAAAAAGATGTCTGCTCCCATAAAGATTTACAGTGTCAGAAACCCTAAGGAGAAGTTTTACTCTGTCCTGTCCTATAGGTGTGGTACCGTAGGATAAGCACTCGACCTTAAGGTCGGTTTGAACCTCAAGGTCAGCAGTTCAAACTCACCAGCCAATCCTCAGAGACCCTCTACAGGGTTGCTATGAGTCGGAGCCAACTCAGTGGCACTTAACAACAACTACATAGGGTTGTTATGAGTTGGAATCAGTTCAGAAGTGAGCTTAGTTTGGTTTTTGGTTTTGTTATTGTCAGGCAGAAACTTGGTTTCAGTTAGAGGAGGTCAGTGTGGGTAGTATCCAGAGCCTTGTCGTGACTAGTCCTAAGGGCCTAGTGGAAGAGGTGGGTGGGAGAGAAGGTGGGCACAAGCTAGGGGGTGTACAGAGCCAAGTCAGGATAGGCTTCATAGTGTCAGGGTACTCGAGGGAGGTGAGAGCTGGAAGGCAATCAACAGAGGTAGGACCAAATAAGGGCTGGAGGGGTGGGCTCTGACCCCTGCCTCCCTCTCCAGCCAGGCCTCGTCATAGAGAGTCCTGGTGCCCTGCTAAAGAGTTTGGACTTTTTCCTGAATAAGTGACAAGAATCTGGGTGACAGACAGAGAAGGGAGGCTAAGGTTTGGATTTGAGAGGGGATGGGTCAACTCTGTAATGACCCCTGAGATAAGGCCTCTTCATGGACAGGTGGAGTGGCCTGGAGAGGGGAACTGTGGTGGAGATAGGGACGAGGTGGCCTGTGAAGGGAATATGGTGGCAGGGCCAGTAGGGGCAGGCCTCCAGAAGGATCCCTGTGAACAGAACCTCCTCTCCCTGTAGCCAAGCCCCAGGAGGTCCTCCAAGCTGTCCGGGGCTATGTTCACTACTTCTTTGGCTGTCGAGACTGCGCTGACCACTTTGAGCAGATGGCTGCTGCGTCCATGCACCGGGTGAACAGTCTGGATGGTGCTGTACTCTGGCTCTGGACTAGCCACAACAGGGTCAATGCTCGCCTCGCAGGTAAGGAAGGGCCACCTCCAACATTGGACAAGGTGGGGGAGCTACAGAGTCCTGGAACAGAGGTGGGGGAAGGGATCAGAGCCCCCTAGGTACCACCCACACTTCACAGTGCTTCCCAGCTAACAAAACCCTTCCACTTGCCCAGCCAGCCCTGTTGATGCATGTCAGTATTATTAGACCCATTTCCTAGATAAGGAAGTAGAGGCTCTGACCCTGTTAGGGCTCTGGCTGCTCTTTCCCCTGCACCAGGACCCCTCTGCTTGTTGAGGTTCAGGGCCTTCTGCCTCACCTGCTCTGCTTCCAGCAGTTGTCCCCTTACTCAAACTCAGAGGTAACAGAGAGCTTGATTTTTCCCTGCCCTGAGAGAGGGAGCTGATGATAGGAGCTGGAAAAGAGAGACAAAGTCCTTCCTGGAAACACTAGGGACTTATTCCCATGAGAGGATCAAGTCTTCTCTGGGTTTCCTTTATTTACAATGTCCCTGTCCTCATAATGGATCAACAGGCAAAAGCATTAGACTCCAGGGGGTGACCAGAGGCTGGCAGGGTCGGAGGGAGCCATCTGTAGGCAGGGCTGAGCTAGTCTGTAGGGGATGAAGGAGTGGATGAGGCTGCCAGCAGGCTTTCAGGGGTGGGCAGGGCGGGGGAGTGGGATAAATAAGGCCTGAAGCTAAGGTTAAAGGAGCTGAACTGAGCAGGTGGTGGGTACAGTGCCTGCCCTTGGTCTTGATCTCTTGGGACTTCCTGGTGGACTTTGAAAAGAAGACACGTGCCTGCTTCTCCTCCTACCCCGCCTTTGCCCCACCCCTTTAACCCTTAAAGTTTTCCCATTAGCCCTCTGTCTCCATGACCTCTGCAAGCTGCTGACTTCCCTTGGGGGCCCAGCTGTAAGAGAGCAGAGCAGTCCACCTGCCACTGAGGGGCCAAAAGGAAGGCAGTACTGCTCTGGTGTGGTCCTTTCAGGTCACTCCAGTAATACTTAGCAGGTCCATACTGAGCGCTTTCATGGACGTTCCAACCCCCCAGATCTACTTGTTAACCCTCCTCTGAGAAGCCATTCTGCCTTTTACATAATTTGCTGCTGCTGCTGCTTCATGTGGTCAATAGCTTCTATTTTTCTATGAAAACTTGTAGGAGAGGGGGTTCCTACAAAAAAGGTGAGCAGATTGACACTTCCCCCAGCAGCCTGGTGGTCACAGCAGCTCAACTCTTCCCAGTGCCCTTTTTCTCCATCCAGGCCCCAGGCCTCCCCACAGCCACCCCAGGAACCTCCTGAGGGGGAAGTTACACAGATTACTTCCATTCTGTAGAATCACCAAAGACAGCAACTCTTATTCTTAAAAACATCGTCCTTGAATTAGAAAAGTAATTTATAGTCGCTGTATAAACTGGAAATGTTTATACAAGCTTTTAAAAATTATTAATTAAAAACAAAAAAACACCACTATCCACAGAGCAAGCAAAGTCTTCAAGACTGTCCATTCTGAGTCATACCGCTTTTTCCCTTGTCTGATCCGGGAATACAAATTGCCTGGAAAGTAGACAAGGGGAGGCAGGGACCTGGGTAGCTGGGGAGTGACTGCTGCGGGACACTAGAGTTGGGGGGGCTGGGGTGGAAGGTGGTTGTTGTTAAGTGCTGTTGAGTCGGTTCTGACTCATAGCGACTCTATATAATGTTTCTGAGGAGCAGCTGGTGGGTTTGAACTGCTGACCTTGTGGTTCGCAGCCCAGTGCTGATCCCACAACCAGAGAACCCTGCTCCAGAAGGCTCCATGTGCTGAGCTCCACCTTGGCCTTGGGCCTGTACAAGGCCTTTCACTGGGCTCCTTGAATAGCAGTGGAAAGCCCTTTGCAGAGGAGGAAGCTGGTTACTGAAGGGAGCAATGACTTCTGGGTGGGACTCATATCACAGCCCACTGTGTGTGCTTCTCTCCTCAGGTGCCCCCAGTGAGGACCCCCAGTTCCCTAAGGTGCAATGGCCCACCCGTGAATTGTGTTCTGCCTGCCACAATGAGCGCTGGGGTAAGCCTGTGTGGGACCTGGGTGCCACCCTCAGCTTCCTCAAGGCCCACTTCTCTAGGAGTAACATGGTCCTGGACATTCCTCAGGCTGGGCCAGGCCTCCGGGCTGTTAGGGAGCAAATAGCAGGCACCCCAGAGCTGGTGACTGGAAACTCAACTCTGAGCCCTGAGGAGACTGCAATCATAATGGGCCCAAGGACAGAGTCCCCCAGAAACACCATTTTGGATGTTCCCGCTGAGAGACCTGGGACAAGTCATGCCCAGGAACGGGGCCCTGGCCCGGGTATGACCAGCACTACACCGGACCACGGACCTCCTAAGCACCTAGTGGAGCTTCCAGGGGAGGAGCTGGAGCAGCTCCAGGGGCAGCGACGCTTGAGCAAACGAGACACAGGGGCCATGTTGCTGGCCAAGTTCCCAGCGGAGAAGGACCTCCTCAGGGGCCCTTCAGAGTTGAGACGAGTGGGGCGCAACTCCAAGCAGTTGGTCAGCTTCCCTGAGGAGGAACCTGAGGCCAGGGCCCAGTGGGGCCGACGCCAGTGGCTGCAGATGTTGGAAGGGGGCTTCTCCCACCTGGACATCAGCCTCTGTGTGGGGCTTTACTCCCTGTCCTTCATGGGCCTGCTGGCCATGTGCACCTACTTCCGGGCCAGGATGAGGGCTCTGAAGGGCCGTGCCAGTCACTCCACAGCTTGAACCAAACAACTTGGGGGTGGCAGGAAAGGGAGCCTACCTCCTTCCACTGTCCTCCCTCTCCCGCTCCCTCCCAGCCTAGAAGAATGGGAAGTCCAGTAAGCCAGTTGCTCCAGTGGCCCTCCTCAGGCCGTCTTGAAAGAGTGTTCCATAGACATGAACAAGATCTAGGTCCATCTGACAGCAGAGGAGAGGGCAGCCTTGAGCTGTGGGCTCAGGTGGTTCCGTTCCTGGCCTTTCAGCACCACATTCTTGCTTGTCAGCTTATTTGCAGTTATGCCCCATTCTTAACTTGAAGCCTCCGTGTTGCTTACTTGATCTTGGCCCTACACTGAGGCTACTGAGGCCACAGTTTCCAAGGTTCCCTATCCAGAGAAGGGTCCCCTGGGCTAGGCCGGCATGCCATCTGGACACCAGAGAGAAAGGCCCACCTCTGGCCCTTTGTGACCTGGCCATCCTCCAGCCTTCAGACCTCCTCTGGTGGGATTTGGCTTCAGGATGGGTTCTGGAAGCTTTCAACTGCTGCAGGAAGAGGGTAGGTGGGAGTCAGTGTTGGCTTGTCCAGGTGGGTGGGTGATGGTGTCGGGTCTGCAGGGTGAATGGCTTACTTAATGGGATCTTATGAGGCAGCGGCTTAGGGAAGAATGTTGGGATGGATAGTGTCATGGCTCTGGCTTGGTTGGGAGGTAGTGAAGCCATGAGAAAAAGATGGTTGCTTTAAAAGTGCTTTGGCGTCTTCCCATTGGACTCTACCCCTTGCTGAGCTGAGTCTTTTTTCTCTTTATTTTGGCTTCCAAAATAGATGCTAATCTTTGAATGTCAGGGTTGCTGCTTTAGGGTAATGAGGGGGTGTCCTCCAGGTTCTACCCTCCAACATGTAGAGTTGAGAAGGCTCCAAGGAGAGGGCAATGCTGTAAACATGCTTGTTTCCCATTCTCCCCTACTGCTGGGGTGCGGAAATAAATTATTTTTACTAAAGCAAACATCAGTATGTTCTCTAACTGGCTACTTGGAGACTTTGTGTCCAGCCCCACCTGGAATCCGCCAGACTTGGCTTCCTCAGCACGCATAGCCCCTAGCCTGCAAAAGAAATGGTGGCTATGCCCAGCCCCACTGTGGAGGGTGCCCACCCTTCATCCACGGCCACAAAGCTCTGTGCACAGACCCCGTCAATCACCAGGTGCACCAGAACAAGGTCTGACAATTCCCACTCCTGCCTGCTCCTGTTGGACTCTCCCAGGGAACACCTGCCCCAGTGCCTCCAATTCTGCATCTGCCCGGCCCTTCTCAGCCCGCCATCTCACACCTCCTGGCACCCCACCGCAAGGAAGGGAAGGGCTTGGCTGTGAGGGTGGGGCCTGGACTGGGCTGACTGCTCCTGGGGGAAGAGTCAGTGGGATTAGGGAGCTGCTCCTAATCCCTCTGCCAGCCTGGGTTTTGCTAGGATCAGAGCAGCTGATAATGAACCTCATTACGGGGGAGCAGGAGCCACAATCGGATTTAGGTTTTCTCTCTGACATCTTCACTCTGCTCAGATGGCTTCTGCACTGGTGGAACAGGTGGAATGCTGTGCTAGGGCAACTGGGGGTGGGGGTGGGGCACTGGCTGGGGTCAGATCCCTGCCCCCATGCTTCTTTCTGCCCCATTTAGCCATCTGACTCCTCTGGGTGTGTTCTAGCCCCAAGTCTCTCTGTAGCCCCTCTGTCATGGGTTTCCTCCCAGTGCCCCCTGCAAACCAGAGGCTCCTTGTTCTGGGGATAGACAGAAACTTGCCTAGTAGTCCTCGACCTACTTCCCCATCCTCCTGACTGGGTTTCCACCACCCCCTGCTTTGAAGGCCTGAGAGAGTCCAGCTGCTGAGGCCTGGGTGGCAGCACCTGCCTATCAGGCCCTGTCTGGGCATCTTAGAGGCTGACCAGCCAGCACACTGTCACACTGTCAGTGACGCTACCCTGGCCTGGAAGAGGCCGCTGGGTCCAGTGCCAGCCTTGCCCACAGGCTAAGAACCCTGACACAAGATCAGGTGCAGAGGATTTCTGTTAGCAAGCCCCAGTGATCCTATTTTCTCAAACCAAACTCAGGTATTTAAAATTAGCACAGCCCACAGTGCTCAACCGGGACCCCACCACTGAGTGTGGTCTTCTCTTCATAGCTGCCACTAACTGGTAGCGGAGCCCCGGCCCCTCTGATTGATACACTGGGGCGGGCCGCCTCCTCCTCCTCCTCCACAGGACTGCAGCCTTTCGCCTTGATTTCCCCAGGGCCCTTGGCAGTAGCATTGACAAACAGGCTTCCCCACCAGCTGCTCCCCTCCCCCACCCGGTCTGCCAGGCTGGGAGCCTCTTGCTGTCTCCTGAGCTCCTGAATGCCTTTCTGGGTTCTTGTTCTGCACCTTGAGAGAGCTTCCTCAGTAGAAGAAGGTCCTTGGGGACCCTACAAAGCAAGGCTCCTTGTTTTGGGGTTAGACAGAACCTCGCCTTTGTCTGAGATCCCACTGAAAGCTCAAGAAAGAGTTCCTGGAGGAGACAGCTGAGCCTGGCTTTGAAAGATGAGTGTTAATGAGGAAAATGAGGGGGAAGGCTATTCCTGGGAGAGGTGGAAGCACTTGCAAAGCCCAACAAAAAAAACCATCAAGAGTGTACAAATAGGGGGAAGTGGGGTAAAAGCAGCAATGCAGCGGCAAGCTAAGCCCTACAATGTGAATGTTCGGTGGGCTTTTGTGGACCCGGGTAGGGACCTGGTTGGACAACAGTGTGGGGAGACCTGGGGACTCCTGGGCCCAGAGTCAGCGGTGTGGCCACAAAGAACTAGAGTGGAGAGTGAAGCTACCAGCTGATAGGAAGAGAGGGCATACGCACAAGAACACCCACACTTGCAGATAATACCCACGTGACCTGGCCCCGATGAATGGATGATCAGAACTCAACCAGGAGAAGAAAGAAGAGGGAAAAAAAAGAGTGATCTGATACAATTTGATAAACTTGACCTACACCTATGGATGCAATAACCCAAAAGAGGGAACAAATCCTTACAGCAAGAAACATTCCCACCCCTTCCACACAGACAGTAGACAGAGATGGGCAACTTGGACATTGGATACCCAAATGGGGGGTGGGGGAGACTACAAAGGCAAGAAGTGACTGGCTTACAAGCTTTCAAGAGGGAACCTAGAGCTAGGGGGCATGGAGGAAGGCAGAATCTCCAGTCTGTCTAGGCAGAGCTGATGAAATGAAATGCAGAAGGGTCACTTGTGATACAATAGTGAATGATTGTTATCAGGACTGATCGTGAGAGTTGGAAATGGAAAGGTAGACGTTTTGTAGCAAGGAAGGGAGTGATTAACTCTCCAGTCTAGGAGCGGAGGTCTCTAGGACCATCAACGGAGAAGAGCTGAGAGTGGGACCCTACCCAGAGAAGCAGAGATGCCTGAGATAGAGACAGAAACAATGACGTGGAGTGATGAAGTGGCTGGGGACTTTGGATCCAGAGAGGGAGAGGGACTGTGTGCTGAAGAATGGGGGGTGGGGGAGGGAGGGGGCGGGTTTATAGGGTATACCCTTTGGTTGGTTGATGATGCATGGAGGGGATTGGAACCATGGCAATGAAACGATATACAGTGGAATGAATGTAAAACTAAAGTTCTCTCATGTAAACTATCATATAATTCACAATAAAACATGAAAAAAAAAGTGTACAAAATTCTAAACAAAACTTACAGTTTTTTTGGTAAGAATCTTCTCAATGCTGCACTATGCTAAAAGCTAGATTAAGACATAGAGAAGAGACACTTGGCCCCTACTTTGTGGAGCCTGCACTGGGGGCAGGGCATGGGGGAGATGGTGATATGGGTTCTGAGGATAGAGAGCAACAGGAAATGTAAGGTGAGACTCTAAGACTGAAGGCAGGGAAGCCATGAAGTGGAAGGGAGTTGGGGGGCTAAGGCTTCAGAGATGGGCAGTGCTGCTATGAGTCATTCAGGAGGTCCAGGAGGGACAGCCCCCTTTGATCTTGTTTCTCCCCAGCAGCAGAGGGGAGCCCAGATGCAGCCCACATTCTGCATGTGTGTTGGGAGGAGTGGGCTTCTGGGGCCCTGAAACAGCCATAGTCCTGAAGGAAAGACTGAGGAGGGCATTGAGAGACCCCTAAAATCTGGGCTCTGAGTGGGGGAGTCAAGTTCAGTCTTTTGAGCCCAGCTTCCAACATTTGGTGCCCTCATGTGTCCATGGAGATAAATCACTGGACTGTCCCACTGTGCTGGATTAACAGTACAGTGTTAAATAGTGGTAGTCCATTGTGCATGCAAGACTCCTGCATCCATACACACTTAGTTTAAGGTCCCTTTGTTGTTGTTATTGTTGTTAAGTGCCATCAAATGGGTTCTGGCTCAAACTGACCTTATGGTCCAGTGCATTATCCCACAGTGCCACACAGGTCCCTTTGTTGGTGTTTTTAAGTGCCAATGACTTAGTGCCCCTGTATAGGGTTTCCAAGAAGCAGCTGGTAAGCTTGAACCACCGAACTTGTGGTTCAGAGCAACTTTGCAGTCCAGTGCATTAACCTGCATTGACCCACAGCACCACACCAGGACTCTAGTTTGCTACTGTTCTAATGGCTTTGTTGTCAGCTCAAAGCAGGAAGCAGAGGTAAGGAGTTGTTCCTGCAGGGCCTCTGGGAGAAAGGACATCTGGCTGAAGGGAATCAGCTCATGGTTTGTATTCCTATGGAATCCTGCTAAACTGGGAACCACTGTGAAGGGGAAAACCTACCACAGAGTCCCTGATAGGCCTCCTCAGCCCCACATCACACCGCCTTCTCCAGGTTCCAGGGGAGAGCCCAACACCCTATCCCATGCATCCCTCTTCTTCCTCTGAGGGGAAAGAGTGTTTCTTAAATCTATTGTTGTTGTTGTTAAGTGCCGTCGAGTCAGTTCCGACCCATAGTGACCCTGTACAGGGTTTCCGAGGGTGTAAATCTTTACGGGAGTAGAAAGCCTCATCTTTCTC